TTTTTTTTTTTTTTTTTGGGGGGGGGGGGTGAGGGTCCAATGGTAAAGGATGTCGTTCTTGGTGATGCCCGCGCATAGCGTGAGAGCGAAGCCGCAGAGAGGGTGTTTTGAGGGCGGCCGGAGAATGACACAGCGGGATGAGCCAACAGGGGTTGTTGCGAGCATAGAAGGGGTAAAGGTTGTGCGCTCTTGTTGTGGGTGAGCGACGGAGAAGACAGGGGGAGAGGCCGCACGCGGGGGGCGGAGGGGGGTCGCGGTGTTATATCCTGAAATGATAACCGGTGGCAAAGATGGAGGTCAAAGAGGGCGAGCTCGGAGCATTCATCGTCCCTCAATTCCACTGGTGCAAAACTTGTCACGAGCAGATGACAGCCGTTCTACATGCTCCCCCCCCCCCCCCCCCCCCCCCCCCCCCCCCCCCCCCCCCCCCCCCCCCCCCCCNCGGGGTGAAACCATGGTGTGTTCTATTGGTCGGTTTTGTTCGCCGAGCACGTACACTCGCGACAGAGACCGCATCCGCCACAGCGGCCAAAACATGTCCAATCACATGTATCACATCAACACCCGGGGGTGGGTTGTTGATTTCCTGGCCACCTAAAGGTTCGGAACGGTTTGACGGTGCTCGGGGACGCTTACAGCTCAACGGTTGACAACCACTAGCTGTTCGTGACGTAGACTGTAGGTTATGGAGCACGCATGCTCATATTTCCCGGTGCTGCTGTGCTTCTTCTTCTCCCTCCACCCCCCCACCCCTCTCACTTGTGCCCCAAGGCGAACAGCTCCCGGCGGGCCCCCGCGACGTCGGGGACGCCGGTGACGACCACGATCCCCAATCCTTGGTGCCCGAACGCCCTCTCCGCCACGGCGTGGAGGTCGCCTGCCTCGTCGTCGCGCACCAGATCCTCGTACCTGCGCCACGGCAGCGGGAGCGGTGACGGCGGCGGCCGGGTGGATGGGGGTACTGTAAGCTAGCGCCGGGGACAAAGAGACCGGGAGTGGGAATCACTGAAGAACATGATGTCGTCTGCAAAGCCCACGAGAAGATAACTAGGGAAACGAAAAACAGAGGGATGCTGGCGCCATTCGCCCCGCAGGAGGTATGTACAGGTATGCATGATCTGCCGGGAGTGCGTTGAGTAACCGGAGTCATCACTCGCAAGAGTTGTTGTCGAAGAAAGGCCTCATGCAACACCGTAAGCGTATTGCCGCTTAGGTCCAACCGGGCCTCGAAAGACATCGGCGTGGACCCTGTAAGGCAGCAGTATCAGGCATCGTCGCGTTTGATAACGTGGACGACTGACGACTGACGACTGATCGCAGCGAAAGAATGTCCTCGTACTCGAAGGTGTTGCGCAGTACGATCGATTGCTACCCAAGATCGGGAGGGATAACTGAATGCAGTGTTTTGTCTTCATAACACTACCTACATAACAGGAGGATCATCTGACGTAAGTGTTGGAAATCCGGTGAGGCTTCCTGCGCCCGCCTGTGGTCCCGCCCATACCTCGTTGCCTCCCTTTGAAAGTACCAACATACAAGTATGTCGACGACGAACGGGCCGTCGCAGACTCACCCAACAATCTCCCGAACACGCCGTCAAGCTATGGGGCATTGTGACCCTCGGAAGCGGCGAAGTCATGCTTGGACGCCGGAGACACGGGCAGCTAGCTCACCAGTAGTGGCGTCTGCGTATCTCTTTCCTCGTTACCTTTTGCTGTCGAACCCCTCGTAATACAGTGCCGGCCCCCTATTTTTGTGAAGAAACACCTATTTTGAGCGAGGCTCGCACCACTGAAAAAAGGCTTCCATCTATAAATACTACAAGGAGCAATTAACGGAGGGCCGGCCGCAATGCCCAGTGTTCTTGGGGCATTTTTCGCAAGTTTGTCCAACACCTGAGCCTCGGTTTCTTACGAGCATAAACCATTTCTTACGAGCGGGCCGGCACTGCTGTACCGTAGTTAGAAGAACTTCTACAAACGACCGTTGTAGCAGATTCCAAGCAGTGAGTGGCCAAGGGGACGGGCGCAAGAGGATGTGATGAAACGCCCCAACGGAGCGCCCGGCGAGGGTCACGCAGTACGAACAACGTCGCAGCAACACAGACTCCTTGACGCTTGCTTCTCAGAGGGCGCATGTCAAGGGGGGAGGAACCAAACCCCTTTTTTTCGCTGGCATACTTATTCCAGCACAAAAAAAGAAGCAACTTTCCCGCCGTGTCCAACTGCACTATAGTACTGATTCCACTAGAGGACACCATGAATAGGCGTCGTGTGCGCTGGCACGTTCAGGTTCCCTTCTTGGGTGGTGACGTCGAGGATCGTAGAAATGGCTTAAAATCTCCGCAAATCTGCACGGGAACCAAGCACCACCCCAACATTTGTCACAGCCGTGCTCACCGCCACGGACCGCAAACCCCTGGACTGCGGGTCGTCAGCAGTAGCTAGTGATATAGGCTGAATTGCGGGTCGTCAGCAGTAGCTAGTGATATAGGCTGAATTGCGGGTCGTCAGCAGTAGCTGATGACATCGGCTACTGCTGTCAACCCGCAGTTCAGGAGATTGGGGTCAGTGGCGGTGAGCACGGCTGTGACAAATGTTGGGGTGGCGCTTGGTTCCGGCGCAGATTTGCGGAGATTGTACGCCATTTCTACGATCCTCGATATCATGTTCTGGACGGCCGTATGCATCAGTTCTTAAATAGTGTCGGGACGGGCACTTGCGATGCAAGGAACAAGTGTCCAGAGTACACATCCGTATCATGGGCACTGGGATATTTCCCGTCAGTGCCCGGAGGGGGATTTCCGACAGGTGTAACGGTCTCGGGTTCATAATGAAACGAACGGAAAAATTGCTATTGGTTCCATTCCCCGCGCGATGATGAAACGGTTCCTCCGCCTGACGGCTTGCACCTGGCCGTCAGTGGCCCAAGTGTTCGGAAGTGAACACGAAACCTTTGTGAACGAACCTGATCTGAGCGCTACTGACGGTTTTCGCAACTGTGAGTGATGACCACGCCTGACCATGCATGCCTGACCGGATAATGGAGTATCGTCTTGGAACCGCATGCATAATTGGAGTACCGCTGCCTGTTCGCTTGTGTTGATCACGGAATGCTTGGCCTGTCTACAATCGAACTCGCAGGGAATAGTTAACACTCTGATCTGCGCAGGTGAGAGTGGATAGCCTGGTGATAGCGTAGGTTAACCCGACTCTGGAACAATCACCACTACAGAAGCAGATTTGAGCGCGTCAACACACACACCCTCGCCGCTGCTGTAGGGCGTCCTCTAGTGATATTAGTACCAAAATGCAGTTAGAATGCTAAACTGACCTTCTTTGAGCGACTGCCGTTTTGACTCATTTGACTTGAATGTAGACAGGCTTGAATTTTATCTCTATTTCAAAGGGTGCGTGTGGAGATATGTAGACTCATGATATATATGTTTTGAGCAGCCTCTGCTACTGCCGTCGGATGTTAGAATCAACAATTTTTGTTCGTCACGATGCCTTTCCACTGGTCTGGTCTGGCGTGTCTCATGTGCATTTTCCGGTGCTCTTATGGTTTCTTTCAAAATCACTCGACCCAAGTCGACCTCAAAAATCAGTTCGGTTCGGTTCCCCTCCTTGGAAGGAAACCTTCACAAGGGCGGTAGTTGAAGGATTAGACTGTACAAGATTCACCGAGGTAACCTGCCTGCCTGCTGGAGTTGTGTCCATTTCTGTTTTGTTCCCTGCAGTAGTACACCTTTCGGAAGATGTTTGACGCATCAGCCTGGGCCACACACAGGAGGAAATCTCCACCTCTTTTTCTTCCTCCTGCGGTGCTTGCCTTCGTTTTGTAACGCGAGAGAAGAAGGACAGCCGGTTGCCTCCACATGTAAATGTGTGTGCGTTTTCTGCCTATTAATTATGGCGACATTCCCCAGTTTTTCGTGGTGAGACGTGGACTACACTTTTTCCAGCATAGCTATGTATGTAGAGTAGACTACTACCGTATATGGCACAAGATAACACACCCCCTTAACCAATTTTCGAAGCTCGATTTCTCAACTGCAGGAACAGCCACAGCGCCGAAAACGGCGGCGTTGAAACTGTCTCGTCGAGAGCTTTTCGACAATGTATCGTTTCGTTTATGCATCCTCTTCGTCGTGGAGTAATCGAGCTTTAAAAATCGGTCCCGGGGGTGTGGTATCTTGCGTCATATACGGTACACTTTTCAGTGTATTTTTTCGTACAACTACAACCATCCACGGCCGCACAGGAGGGGGCTAACACCGGGGCTTTTCTCTTCTTTTTTTTCTTTTTTTTTCTTTTCATGCCCCACCTGCTTCCTGCGGTGCGTGCTGAATTTTATTTTTATCGCGATAAGGAAGGGTCCTCCAGCCGTCCCTTTCCTTCGTCAACGGTGCTAACGTCGAAGTTTGATACTCACGAGGGCTTTTCAGCCATATTTCGCTTTCACCCGCAAATTTTGTAAATTTTTCACCCCATCGGAGTTCGACCTCACGACCTCCGCGACTGGCTGTTAACGTGAATACCACTACTGCTGCTGTAGACCACCGGGGGCAATGCGAATTTAAATCCACATGTAGTCTAGTCTAGTCAGTCTATGTGTCTTAAGGGGGAACCGCCAATCGATGTCACGGTTCGCAATCGGGGCAGTGTATAGGGAATAGACTGGTCTGGAAACCCCCCTGTTTCTAAAAAACATGACAAAACCTGGTTAGACCGCACTTGTTACGGCGGCCCGCAAGCAGGAGGGCAGCGACGTGCCCAGAACAACAACCGGTGAGACCCAGAGGAAATACGCATGAGATGAGATACATGAAGTGTCACATCGTACAATGCACGACCGAAAGACTTGTCATCGCCGACCACAGAATCAGCAGCTTTGAAGCGGCGGAATTGCCGGATATACGATGCTCCAGCGCACCGCCCCGGCGCGAATAAGGCGTGTAGTGGATGAACTCACGTACTCGCACGCTGAGGGTGTGCTCCATATGTGTAACGGTCGTGCAGTGCCCGCAGAAGTTTAGGAACGTGTCGGCGTCGGTGTTTCCTCACCCTCTGGAAATGAGGACATGATTTCCGCCAAATGGGGTGCTGAGGGGCGGTCAAGCCGATCGGAAAAGCTGTANGAAAATTAAGAAAAATAAAAAAAACTACCTGTAATAAACTTAAGGGGGAACCGCCAATCGATGTTACGGTTCGCAATCGGGGCAGTGTATAGGGAATAGACTGGTCTGGAAACCCCCCTGTTTTTAAAAAACATGACAAAACCTGGTTAGACCGCACTTGTTACGGCGGCCCGCAAGCAGGAGGGCAGCGACGTGCCCAGAACAACAACCGGTGAGACCCAGAGGAAATACGCATGAGATGAGATACATGAAGTGTCACATCGTACAATGCACGACCGAAAGACTTGTCATCGCCGACCACAGAATCAGCAGCTTTGAAGCGGCGGAATTGCCGGATATACGATTCTCCAGCACACCGCCCCGGCGCGAATAAGGCGTGTAGTGGATGAACTCACGTACTCGCACGCTGAGGGTGTGCTCCATATGTGTGACGGTCGTGCAGTGCCCGCAGAAGTTTAGGAACGTGTCGGCGTCGGTGTTTCCTCACCCTCTGGAAATGAGGACATGATTTCCGCCAAATGGGGTGCTGAGGGGCGGTCAAGCCGATCGGAAAAGCTGTACACACGAGGCGCCGTGCAAAAGGCGACTGATATAGGTAGTCTGTGAACATGCAACGCCCTCCGAAGAGTTTTGGTGCGTTCGGTTGCCAAACCTTCAAAATTTCGGTTTCGGTGTACTGGCTCCCAAAAGTGAGCGTTTTTCTGCACATATAGGCGTTTTTAGACAGTGCAAGTACTGTGCATNCGCAAAAGGCGACTGATATAATAGGTAGTCTGTGAACATGCAACGCCCTCCGAAGAGTTTTGGTGCGTTCGGTTGCCAAACCTTCAAAACTTCGGTTTCGGTGTACTGGCTCCCAAAAGTGAGCGTTTTTCT